TCTGCAGATTTGGTAAACATGGATAACGAGTACCAGGACGGGACGAGTTTAGAAAAGTAAATTCAAAAGTGGCCAGGAGGAAGATCGTCGTCGAGTAGCAATGAACGATCGAGGTGCGGCCAGGTCAGTACGTCGAGAAAGGTTCATCAATATTCATAAGTCGCACTAGGCCTATCCGTGTCTCAAGGATCTAGGGAGTTTCCAGTACCGCGCTCTTTCTCTCCTCTTTTTTTTTCTCTCCTCTCTTTTCACGTGCAGGGTGTGGGACTGCATATGCACGACCGGAGACATTCGCGCGACATAGAATTCTGCAATGCGCACATGTGTGCTCGTGCAGTTATTTACGTTGCATTCTATGCGCACATTGTCATATCGCGTTACTGTTTTTGTCTTGCCGTGTGTCGCGCATATGCAAAAAAACAAACTCAAGCAAAAGGCCATTCGAATATCTTATTCCAGCAATCATTGTGAAATAATTCATTAAAGCATACACGTATATGTGTTCTTCTGTGGGTTCTTTTTGTGTTTTTGTGTCTTTCTTGGCAGAGTATTATTTGTAATCGATGACAATAATGGAGCCAAGTAAGAATTGTATGCCAATATCTTCTTTCGCCAATCGTTACGGGATAATTCATTAAAGTATACGCATTCCAAATATGCACGTAAGACTTCTTATAATATAATTCCTTCTCGAGATCCTTTTTCTATCAACATCTGTGGTGAAAACATGTGGAGTCACGAGAGATCATTTTCATCTGCTTTCTGTAGCAAAATCTTTCAAAACTAATAAAGTAATAATAACGTAATTGTGTTAAGAATGTGTATACGACGATGCCACATACATGTGCAATATCATCCTTGATTTCTATCAAAGTGTACGTTTACTATGAAATTTCATGAAATCCTTGTCCACCATCCTCGAGTATACACGTTAATCTACAACGTAAATGTCGACATTTGTGACGATTACATCCAATTACTTGAAGACGATCTAAAAAACCAATATAAAGACCAAACGAAACATGAGGAACGAGCAAGTTTTGTAACAACCATCAGCAATCTCTGCTTTTGTTAAGTTTACACACCGATTTCCCAAAATCCTCTAATTCTATTAATTACATTTCCCAAGTTTTCTACGTAGCCTGCGTACTTGAACATCGTTTCGTCTACGTAGACGCGTGCTGCTGGTGTGCACGTGTAATGTATACATTTTGCGGTCATGATAAGATCAAGAAACTTGCGCAATCTCAAGTAGTGATTTCCACGAGAGCCAGTGTCGTGTACAGACCCTCGCTTTTACCTGCATATTTCGCTCAGTATCTACAAACTCTAAGTAATCGTTACCTTCCATGCTCCTGGTGGTGTAGCAATCAATTTTTCAAACAATCTTTTGCGTTGGAAACTTTTCAACATTTTTCTTACACCTATCCAAGCCATTTTTTGAGGTTATGCAAACTCCATGACCAACTTCGGAATATTAACATTTACCGACTGGTGTCGTCTGATATGTAATTAAATTTGATAATAGCTTTGATTTTGGGAATGTTGGGATGTTTATTTTATGTATTAGAGTTGTATTTTCATTAGTATTTATATAATGTTTCATAGTTAATGGGATTATAATATGTGTAACGGGAGCATTAGTTGTCTTAGCGAAACAATTACCGGTCGGTAAGTGTTGAAGTATTTGAGTCGAAATTCCTATTTCTCCTTTAATCCTTAACGATATGTTCTTAAACATGCCACTTAAAAAGAATAAATTGAAACAAGAATGGAAATTTGTTGGACTACCAAACTACAAAATATTTGTCAATTCGCTACTGACGGTAACAAACAAAAATATCCCCGAAAATGTAGGGTTGTTATCAACCGAGAGTAATGCTTTTCCAATAAGCTTTTTTAACGTCACTGTAACCAAATAGGGGAGAAACTAGCTAACTGTTCCAGTATCGCGCGGTTATTTTCGTCCTGTTTCATGAATTCAATTTTCCCGTTACAATGAGAAGCATATCCAAGAAAATATCAGGCCTCAATGTCGTGTCAATAACGTCATTACGAGCCGTGTTCGCGTATACCGCTACAAGCTAACGTACCATCCATTCGATCCCGTTTCCTTTTTTCTGTAACAGTCAGCCTCGAGCGCGATTTTCCCCACTCGTTCTATTTCCCTCCTCCTCGCGTTTTTGTATTTCTCGAGTCACCGTCTTTTCCGTTCGAGCTGTTTCTATGCTTGTTTACAACGATAAAATAAGCCTAGATTCTTCCAACTTCCGACTGCTACTCTACATTTCAACCTTAGACTCCCTAGATCGACTCGAATTCAAATGACATAAACGTTTTCCAGGTGAAATATCGAACTTTCGGTTAGTTTCAAGTTCCTTGATCGCAGATAACGCGTCTACGCGTCCACGTTCGACCTTCGATTCGATAACGCTAGGATAACGTACCGACGGGAATGCAGTTCATTCATCATTGCAAGCGGATAGACCAACCAAACGAGCCTACAATTTCACCTGCGTGAACAAATATGCTCGTACGAAATCACAAGAAATATTTCGTTGGAAATCCAAGGAAATTAATAATTCGATACAAGTCCAAGGGTTAAAACTGCCCCTCGTCCCTCGCTGGATAAAACATCATCGAGTGGTTTCAACCCTCGTCGCCAGTCTCTACATGTACATAAAGGACACTAACTTACACCAATATCCCGAGTGTCCTTCATTTCTGACACATTCAGAGGCACGATAAAGCTGTAGAAAAATAAAATTCAGGAAGTAAGTTTCACGTTCGAGCGGCAAACGTTCATACGTAGAGCGCGAGAGAAAGAAGCCGAAGAAAATCTCCCAGGCGCAAGAATCTCGCGTTGAGGGGCGCTGATTTGCAGCGCGTATATCGTACGTATCGCCTCCGATGGTAGGGATGGAGGTGAAGGGTGCAAGGGGGGCGGGGGACGCGGAGGGGCTCAAGGCCGGTCACGCTGTCAAGCCAGAAAGCCTGCGCGCCGAAATATCAACATGACTGTCCGGCTCTCGGGCTAGCATGCTTCGATTAGGCACGTTTCTTTGTGTCTGTAGAGCAGAAACGATGCCAAAAATTCGCGGGGAAGAGTAGACACGTTGCAAGGGGGGCGATGGGAGGAGGAGGAAGAGGCGGGTTCGGCGGGAAGGGGGAGAGTTTCGGACAGGTGGTACAACTGAGGCTGACAGCTGATAGTTCGTGACTCTTGTATCGAGGGAGGTTACGAAACTCGTTACCGCGAGAAAGGCTACGACACGCTCTTTCAGGAAAGAAGCGGAACACGTCCGTGCGCGAGCGAACGAGAAAGAGAAAGAGAAAGAGAAAGAGGGAGAGGGACAAAAGTATTCGATCGATTCTCGATCGATCGGAGCGGTCAAAATTCCTCGATCCAGTTGTCGCTGTCGAAAAACGGTTTTTCATCGGTGAGCAAAACGTTCGCGAGCGCCAAGAAAAAGGGGGAGACAAGGAGAAGTGGGAGGCGGAGGGGAAAGAGAGCGACGAAAGGAAAGGGGATAACGAGGAAAAGGAGGAGCGAGTCGAGGGGTCATCGGGAAACATAACCTCCCGTACGCGCAGCTCAACTGTAACTTCCAGTTTGTTCCGAGCGTTACATTCGTTTCGTATTTTTTTAATAAGCCTCCTTTCTCACCTTATGCTCTCTTCGACTCGACCACCACGACGAGGATCCCACGAGTGGTTTGCGTTGCCAGCGTCTGGGACACTCCTGACAGTTTTCCACGGCGATGTGCGTTGCTGGTACAGTTTTTTAGCAGGCGCACGAGGACGATAGACCACAAAACACTATCGACGCACTCGATACGCGACACTACGGGGGACCCGCGATCGGGCGTCTTCGGACGGAGTAACAGGCACCCGAAAGAGCTTGGCACACCTTCGCGTCACGTTACAACGAGTTACAACAAGCCACGGGCAGCTACAGGCTACAGGCACGGGCGCACGGGGCACGGGCTACCTCGGACTCTCTGTCTCTGTCTCTGTCTCTGTCTCCGTCTCTGTCTCCGTCTCCGTCTCGGTCTCCGTCTCCGCCGTTGACTGGTGGCTACCTCACACCACAACCTCGTCTCGTACCTGTGTCTCCCTCTCACTCTTTCTACGCCTGCCGTGCCTGTAGTACAGTGCATCGACACCAGGTGGCCGCCAATGGCGCGCGTCTCGATGTACATATAACGAATTCCAATGAGATTCGTTTGAAATTCATCGTACCTTGAAAGATATTCCAAAAAGGAAATGCTGTAGGGTTCCCGGGCTGTTTTAAACACTCGATTAGCCAGAGTAGTTGAGGATTATTCAGGCTAGTTTTTGTTTAGTTGGAGTGGGGGGCCTCGCAGAGGGAACGATTTCGATAGTTTTTAATGATTACCGACTGGGGGCCTGTTAATCAACTTTTTGCCGTGGCAACTTTTCTTATTTGTTCATATGATTATATACTCGTAGGACTATTTAAATTACAAAATCCATATTAATATTGTAAATGCAAAACAAACTCTGTTTGCTACCTTTTCACATCTAAATCGTTCAACAGATTTCGATAAAAATTAGGCAAGGAGATAAATTGCATTTCGAGGAAGGACATGGGCTGTATTTTATTTTGATAAAAATAAGGTTTCGGTTCGAAATCTCGATATTTGTAAATAAAGAATCAGAAATATCTATCGAAACATCTTGTTACGGAAAAAAAAAGACAGCCATTGATTGGTACACGAAGGTTCACGTGGTTCAACTGTCAGTCGAACGCAAACGGCATAAGATAAATGGTATACCACGAGAGTGAAATCGCCGGAGGCCGCTATTAATGATCGAAATAAAAATATAATTAAATCTTGTTATGTGACCAAACGCCATCAGTCGGTAACGTATTAATTACCTTTTTACCACTGCAATATTTTGTTATCGCTAGTCGATAACAAGGGTGAGGAAGAAACTTGGTAAGTTTGAATATGATTTTATAACTCGTCACCATATCGACTTAATAATGCAGCCTTGCTGTATTCTTCTTTTATTTGCAATGGATACATACACGTAGAAACTGAACAACTCGTTAATGAAACACGGTAGATCGGTGGTTAACGCGAGCAACTCTGCAGCAGAACCGCGATGGTGGCATATACCTTTATTAATCATATGTACACGCGCAGTTGCTGAAGTAATTAACACGAGACCATCGACGTGGCTACGATTCTGTTAAAAATAATTGCAGGTATACGCAGCACAGCCCAATAGAAGTAACTTGTAATAAATAATCGAGCTTGCATCGTTCCCTCTCCTCCATTATTATTCCTACCTACAAGAATCTCCCCTATTCTCCGTCCTCGTTGCGACCAACGATCATCTGGTGCTCGAATTTAATTAGCATTTCGGGTCTTTATTCAAGAAACGAATCACAGCGAGTAAACAAAGCATTGGCGGGCTCATTTACGAACAAAACGAGTGCGTCGATGCTTTCCTTCGCATTTAACGCAACAGTCTTTCCATTTTAAAAACGCCAAGGTCACTTGTTGCGCATACAATTGCATCTACAGCGAATATCTGTCAACGACTGTTGGAACGGCAGTAAATCTAGCTACGTTTAACGCACGGTATCGCGCGGATACACGTTCGAATCAGCTGGTGTATCCGTTGATCCTACCGAGGCACAAGCGTCAGGTACCTGCAATCTGCAAACCTTTACCAACAAATTAATCCAGACGGACGTATCTAGAAAGAGCCAAGAGGAGGCCCCCTCCTTTAAGCTAGATACTTGTTAGGTTCTCGACCTACAACTAATCCAAACTATTTCCTCAGCTGCGTTGGCATCAGAGTCGTGGGTGTAGGTGTTGGACTGCTGCTGCAGGACCTACTCAACGCCCTGTGAGGCTCCACAGTTAAGAAACTCCTGTCTGTCGTTGGTGGCGCCGAGATCACTTCCGGTTCTGCTGGACTGGGGCACCTCCTCTGTGCACAGGTCGACAGGGTACTCCTCGATAACGTTTGCAGCGGTATCTGGTAGATTCTTATCGGTTTCCAATCGTTCTGGCTGCCTGTAAAGCATACACAAGGGACACATCCATGGTTGACTCTTCATCTTTGTTCGAATTCTCTTAACGTTTTTACGTTGACTAGTCTACGTACTTTGCGAGTTGGATCGGGAAGACGAAGACTGAGAGAAGGATGGAGGACTGGCGACCGGTTCCTCCTTGTCCACAGGCTTCGCGTCGAGTCGAATCCTCTCGCACTTTCCTGGCAGGAACTCTGGCGCCGTCGTCGCGAAGTAAATGTCCTGCTTGGACGTGATCAGATTCAGGTTTGGCATCGTCATCGTGTGCACCAGGTTCCCGTTGATTATCAACCGGATCTCCATTGTGTCGTTGGTGAAGGCGATCACGTAGGGGAAGGCACAAGCTGAAAAATGGAAAATTAATTTTTGTCGAATCTTTTAACCTCGACTAGATTGCTAGATTGCTAGATTGCTAGATTGGCTAGCTGCTAGAGGCCCAAGTAGGTTGACTACAGCTGGTTTACCTATGGCTGCTGGCACAGAGTTCCAGTTGAAGTCGAACTCTGTGGGCGCTGTACTCTCCTCCAGCAGCTTTTGAAAGTGGCACATGTCTGGAAATCGCAAGCATACAAGCTCAAGAATCATCACCGAAACTCGTACGTTCTACTTTTAAGGAAATCTGTCGCTTACTGTTGTAACAAAGCAGTAACTCTGGTTCCTCGTCCTCGCAGAGATCCAGAGCAGCCACCAGGTGGGGTTTGGGGGTCCCCTCTATGTGAAGAGTCCTCGTGCTCCCTGTCGCGGATATCAATTCAAAATGGTGCCTAATGCCGCAGCAGAGCGTCCACTCATTGGTGGAATCCGTGCTTTCTGTCATGGTCAACAGCGAGGGGGTCTCGCTCGCGTTCAACTCCTTCAGCAACACGAACCCATCCACTGTGTCTGTGTCTGCAGCAGAGCACCAGGCTGTCCAAGCAGCACTGTGCTTCCATTGGAGCACCGTCAGGCGGCGACCAACCGCCACACACTGTAAACAATTACATCGTAAGAATGCAAAAGCAGATTTCGAGTGACTATTCAATTATAGAGTGATTCTAGGCGTGGAACTGTAGGAGGTGGCCCTGTCTAGAATAGTGACAATTTGAGTACTATTTGAGCCAAGAATCCTTGATATTCACCATACGCAGATGGGAACCCCCTGGCATAGTAGTGGTATATAAATGACAGCCACGCGACCGAGGTAGCTTCCTTTCCTTTATGTGCGCTCGACCTCTTACAGCCAGAGGACGTACTCGTGCCCTACCGCGTGGACGAATAACAGGTTTAAATTTCGCAGTGGCTCGAGTGAAATTGTCGCAGTCGTTATCCTCGCTCTCGTACGCGTCGTCGTCCACGTCATCCTCGTAGGCGTTGTCCTCGCAGTCCTGGTCGTCCTCGCGTTCGTTCAACACCTCCGCAGATCTGTTGGTAGCGTTGTTTTCAAACTCCCGTAAGCGAAACACGTAGACGTTGCTCTCCCTGCCCTTGTCCACCGCGCGGAACAGCAGGATCCCGTGCTGCTCCACCACGTTCAGCTGTTTGATTTGCACGGACTCGTCGAAGATCAGGCGGTGGGACAGGCTGTCTGAAATGCCAAGGGAAGCTGACAGTGTCTTCAGGTTCAGGTTGAGATAAAATTGAAGCAAAGGCGAAACTAGGCGTCAAGCACGTGGCGAAGGATAGCGTGATGAAAGGACTTGACCAAAGAAAGAAGAAGAATGATAAGAAAATGAGGGTCGGGAATCGGCCATTTTAGTCCGTCAAGCCAAGCGCCCTTATTCACCGTAGAATAAACCGACTGTTACCTTCTATCAAAAATGTCCCGTTCTCCGTAGCGAGGACGATCTTGTTGTCCAACCAGACGTCTCCACAGACGACCTCGTGGGGGAAGTCGGGGTATATGCACCTGGGCTCCCAGGGTCTCGGCTTCAAGGGACCAGCAGTAGCCAGGGAGGTGGGGGCAAGTCCTCTAACGATGGCCTCCAGCTTCACAGCCTGGCCCACACGCACCATCTCCACAGCGCGCGTTTCCTCGCGACGTCGACCTGGAGCCTCCACCACATCCGACAAAGCTCGTCGGTTTAACATGCTCTGCGAAAATTTGATTAATTTTCTTTTCCACGGGGTGGGGGAGAGAGTAAACACCGAGGTGAGGTTCTATCTTTTCTTAATCTCTTAACTGTTCATTTCTCCTATAGTTCGTGGGAGCCTGATCTCTCGAGGTGTTTGCGGAGGGAAACTAGCCACGCGTTGTGTACAAACTTACGTTGCCCTTGCCCTCCTGCGTGTGCTCTTGGTACATGTCCCGCAGGAGAGCGTCCAGCGTCCTTTCGCGCTTCCGCGAGAACGTTGGAGTGTTGAACGTGGCCTTCTCGCCGTTTATCAGCTTCACCAGCAGAAACTCCCGCAGGGTGTAGGGGTCCTCGAAGACGGGCGGACAGGGCAGGCTGGGACCGAACAAGGGAACGCTCTCGTCGCAGTAGAGGGCCACGCGCCAGCCTTTCTTCTCCTCCGTTGTTACCACGGCGAACACGTCTGAAATACATGTATCTTACTGCATATTACGTGTGCTAATCTTCATGGTAAATAAATTAGTTGATTTATTAGTTGATTTACTATCAGAAACCTACTCGTTGTCAGACAGTATTTCATAGTTTTTAGTGATGTTTTAATATTTGTCCATGTCGGTTATATTTTTTTGTCGAAAAATCGTTTTATTACGCATGACGAGTATACTCGCCGTGACATAGCTGACTGGTTAAAGGACACGCGTCGTAGATTTTAATTAGGCGAGCATATTAATTTGGGCTCGACTCACGCGTAAATTGGCTCCTGATGCAATTAGGGTTGAAAACGTCGATGGCGTCGGGGTCGTCCGTGTAGACGATGTTTACTATGTCGTTGCCGATGTGACGCTTTCTTTCTAATTGTTGTGGGTTGTCTTTGGAGTAAGGAAGCATCGTGCTCACGTGGTACATAACTTCGTGGCCTGCGTATACGGTGTAATAGCTCTCCTTCCCTGTCATGTCACCTGGACATTGTTTTATGGAACGCGACACGTGTAAGTGAACAGGTTAACGAACAGGTGATATTTTAATAAAATCTATACGAGTACCTTTCACGTCCAAGCCTCCTCGATATTTGTCCCAGTTTTTCAGCTGTATCCTCTCGCCCAGGATCTCCAGAAAGCTCTCGAAACCTGGACTACCTTTCTCTGGAAACGAGACACTTTCAAGTCGGTAGTAAGCTTACCAACATGTAATCTAAAAGTTGTTCTAATCGTCGTCGCGTCGTGGTAAGCTTTAAAGTTCAATTTTTAATCGACTTACCATTAGAGAGCATCTCGTCGTCGGTGATTTGTCCTTTTTTGGCGTAGATGACGCCGAACTTGAAATTCACCGAGCCCTCTTGTTCCTCCAATAGCAGCAAGTCCTGCAACGTCGAGATATTGTTTGTTGGAGAAAAATGATAAACATACAATTTTCAAATGTAAACACAGAATAGAACGCTCGAAGGGATAAATGGAACGTTTGGGTCCAGATTTTCTTGCATATTTAACCCAGTCTTTAATGTGGCTGGTATTACCGCTTAGTGTACAAAAATATTATCTGCAATTATTAGACAGCGCACCTTGATCATTTTCATGGCAAAACACGCTAAAGAAATACTCACTTTCTGTATCTCTGGCGAGAAGACCTCGCGTGGCGCCTTGTCGAGCTTCTCCAGCCCGAAGAAGTTGCTGAAATTTGAATCATCGATTCATCATTGTGGATCACACTGAATACCGATCATGGGCCACTTTTAATAGACATTTACCTCAAGATTTGCCTGATTGTCAGAGTTTTGTTTGCAGAATACGGCAGAGATATCCTCTGGGCCCCCTAAATATAGTGCTCTTTTGTTTACGTAATACTCGAAGCTTTCATCAATTAAATATCGCGGAAAAGACAGATTGCTGCTTCGGAAAATGATTGAACTGATTGAAATGATCAAACAATAAAAGAAAAGAGAAACGAAAAAAGAAAAAACGTAAGAGAAAATGTAAGGTTTAGGAAAATAAACTTTCAGTTTTACGCGCACTTACAGTTTTTCTCCACAGAATGACCCTGTAATGTGGCACGCTTTGGTCGCTTATCTCGCTGGTCGCCACTGATAAGAACAGAGGATTCCTCTCTTGATCCGCAGCAACGTAGTTTTGATGCACTGAGTAAAATATTGCAGCGTAGAAACAATTTTGTATATTAATTATATTCTGATATAATTTATATATTATCGTAGGCCACGCTGCATGAGAATCTACCGAAATATAATAATAAATGGGCATACACGGGCATAAACTGTATAAGAATATAAAAATATCCATTGTTTTCGTTGTCTAACGAGCCTCTCGACTGAAATTCGTACAAACACTCGAGTGCGCTCTACTTACGTTTCCCCAGAAAGTATTTGAAGTACCATCGCGTTTGATACTCGGGATTTTCCAATATTGGCGTGCTGGGCGAGCCGAACATCTGAGTACAAGTTTGTTAATCAGTTCCAACGAAATAATCTCACTTGATAAATAACGCAGTGAATGTACGAAGGGTTGATACTTGATACGGAGTCGTCCATCCAACAAATACAAAATAACAACAAAAAATGATTGTTCATACGCGATTGAAATTACAAGGGGGGGGGGGGGGGGCAATAATTAAATTGAAAATGAAACGGGAGGCAATTGGACGGTTTCTTACTTCCTCTTTCTCGCCAGGGGAATCGCCATTCTCCACTCGAAATCGCCTGCCATTATCCGTGCCGTCTTGCTCGATCTGCGGTAGCTAAAAAGCGACGTGGAACGGACACATTAGTATTAGTATTAGTAGGTACGCGGATGTCTGTGGTGCGACCGTGCTCCAGTTTCAGAGTGCCTCCGTTTAAGCATGGAGTGCAGGAACCTGACTCCCCTTCCTCTTCAGCAATGAACTTTTCTTGTTTCTAGCCGCGCTCTATCTTTTTGCTCAACGGATGATGCAGAGAGCTTGAAACGCCGCACAGGTTTTCGGTAACGTGCTTTTCGATGTTTCCAATGAATAGAATAGAAGATTCTCAAGGTAATTAGTTTCGTAGGCGCGTAGTACAAGCTATAGAAATACATTTCGAAGGTTTTGGAGCCGGGGGTGTACGACAGGGAAAACGTGACATAAGAAGACGCAATCGTACAGGAGGGAACGGCATCACCACGTGCGAGGATACACTCACCATCTCCACACTGCCATAGTATCTCCTGGACAGAACTCCTCTCCTAGAGATGGTATCGGTGCTGGACCTGGAGAAAAATACATTTCACAGCGTAAAGAAAGTTTCTACATTGTTTGTTTGTTTAGGTACGAGTCACGAGCACATACAGTTGATGTATATTTTGTATAGCAACCCAATCCTAACCAAGACCCAAGCCCATATTTTTGTTTACTTGGAGGAAAACCTGCTACCAGACACCTCCCACTTGCTCGGAGGAACAGATGAGAGGTAATGTGTGGGGTTCGAAACCAGACCTAACCCAGACCATTACGTGACTCTCACTGCACGAACAACTCCAACCGATTGTAAAATGCATGAATCTACCGAGTCTGTAGCTTCCTATATCTACATCTTCCTACAACCTACACGTGATGGCTGGCCCTCCTGTGAAGGTGCTTCAACTGGCTGGACGGTAGCGCAGAGACGCACACCGATCTGGACCTGTTCCTGCGTATCAAGTCCTGACCGATAGACGCCATCTCCTCGTCGCTGTCGCTTTCCGTCAACGAGTTCCCAGTGCTCTCCCTCCTACCCTTGCTACGTTTCCACTTCTCCGCGCCAGTGGTCGTCGATGAGGTCGAGGTCGACGTCGAGGAGAGCGGTGACACGCTTGTGGAGGAGCCGCTAGTCAGCGAAACCCCTCGCAGCCGCGAGACCAGCTTCATATCCAAACACAACATCTTCAAGGAGTCACCTTTCCTCTCGGATCAAATTCGAGCCGACTCGACGCGACGCTACGCGCGACGTTAAACACGCGACGCCATTTCTTTGGAGGGAGTCTGGGTGCCCTAGTCGACGACCTTTAGTTCCTTTAGAAATTCGATGGACGACACCGACGGTGACGGCTGATCTTCAGGGCTCAGGGCTTCAGAGGGTTAAGGGACGCAACCAAACGGCTCGGGGAACAAGACGTTCATTAGACACTGATTATGGTGTACCGAGTCGAGCCTGGCTCTGTAATTTGCCGGTTTCATCCCTTTGTATCTTTAACAAACGTCCAATGATGAGAAGAAGAACCAAAGTTAACGATTAGTCGTAAAGCCAGCTTTTCTCGACTTTCTCTCACTGAATTACGTACAAACAAGTAATCTTGTACAATTTTACGTTTGCAGAAACTTGTTTACATTTGGAATCGAAACATTTCCTTTTGCTCGAAGATGCTTGAAAATCAGTCACTTATGAGGTCATGTTTGTCTGCTAAAATAAAGGAAGACAAGTGCTGCTAGCCTCTTTATATTATTTAAAAAACATTATTAACGAGCGTAAACTTATTCGATTAAGATTTATTCATCGAAATTGCCAGAGTTTGTAAGCTTTTCTCTGTTTCCACATAACTAAAGAAAGAAACAAGACCTCGAGTATAACTTATCCCTTGGTTTCTCTCTCCTGTTCCACTGAAGATTGAAAAAAGAAATGGTGGGATCCTATTACGTTTGAACTTTAACCGGCACTCTCCTATTTCTTTGTTACCATTTATGTGTGTGTGTGTGTGTGTGTCTATTCGTGCAAAGTGTGCACACCCTCGTAATTTTTTCCTTTCAACCCCCTGCCGCTTTTCCGACAGCGCTTTTTGTCTTCTGCGAAAGAAGTTAAAAAATGGGGGAAGAAGGGGGGTGGAGAATACAATGCCCTTTGTTCGGCGTGGTTACAGTTTCCGTCACCCTCATTTATCAGCCGGTGAGAAACTGATGCGGGCGATAATTTACTCGAGAGCATCGATATCGAGCTGTTTTCATCGTCCTTAAAATGTACGACGCCGACGTTCACTTATGATATTTCGAGCACCCAATTAATACGACCAACTGATCCAGAGAATTTTAATAAACGTTCCCATCTCTTAGAGAAAAAATTCACTTTTGTTGGTTTATTGATAAAACATAGTTACGGTAAGCAGCAGCCTGATGGCCATGTTTATTTCGAAGCATTTCAATCTATTATTTAATTTAGGAAAATGTTACTAATGGATAGAGGAGAAAGAAAACCTGTGCGACTGACTGTACGTATACTTAAAAATTTGATTTACAAGAACCATCCTAATGTACATATTTATTTGGAAACGTTAAACTCACCATTTAATTTAGACAAATTTGTGTAATGGACATCGATGGTACAAACATTTATTGGACCGATTGTGCGTATACTCAGGGACTCTGGCTATTTTAATAAATAAATAACGAATCAAGTTCTCAACAATTTTTCTAGTTTATAATCACTAAATTTTGAACAACGTGCACCCTCTTACGGCATCCCGTCTCGAGCAAGATTCACCAACTTTACCGTCGAGCATCCCTCCGGAAGGGCTAGTTTTTCACCCAGGCTCCAATCATCATCCTTCAATCCTTTATCAAACAAAACAGCAACAAACGATCGATCCGAGGGAAAGACACCAGCCACCGTATCCTGGTGCAGGTCGTGTCCGGACCGCGACCCCGATTGATCAAAAAACAAAAAAAAAGCACCATACGAACCGTTAAAAAAGAAAAAAAAAACAAAAACAAAAAAAGAAACCAAGAGGAGAAGAATTAAACGAGGAGGAGCCTCCAACGCACGACCCTCCGTCTGTTTACGAGTGATTGATCTCGAAGATCGAGGGAATCGATTTACGAGAAGGAACAACGACCGATGGGTATGCCTCGGGTCTGCAACCCCTACTGACGGGGTGGCAGGACACGACCCTTTGGAACGAGGACGCGAGGGAGCAAGTACTGGTAGTAACACGGCGACTCGACGACTGGCGCCGCGACGTCGAGCTCATTGGCTCTCTTTCCCACCCCCTCGTGACCTCCTGTCCTACCGCCATCACCACCACCCCTCCTCCTCCTCCTCATTCCCCGCCAGCCACCGTAACCGTGGTTCCCCTACGTTTTTCTGTCTTACAGCAACGCTATCCTTCCAACTTGGACTCGTCTCGCGTCTCCTTCCACCCTTCGACCCCAGGACCGTACCCAATCTGGCGCCCAGGGCGTCTCTGGGTCTCACAGTCTGGGAACACTCTTTACCGAATTTTGGTCTTTATACACAAGTGGGACGGCTTGTTTCAACCCTTGGCGGACTTTTTAAAAATAATATATTTTTTTTAGAATAAGACAGTGCCGCACACTGAAACTATATGGAACATTTGTTTTCTAATCGATTTGGTGGCCATCAGGGGTTTTGTTTTTCAATAAAACACACGTGTCCAGCATCTAATCGTCGAGGCTCTAATCCTAGAGCATTCTTTTGGAATTTATACTGACAGAAATATATATATATTTGTTACTTTGAATCTACTATTACACTTGTATTAATTGTCTACGACACTGATTTTCATTTTTCCCCCCAAAAGAAATAATTAATTTTCTGTCCCTTCCTTTAACTGACAACGCTCCTGTTTCGTTCCAAGCTGAATCGATAACGATGGTAACAAGGTTCTCGAGTATCCCCTGTCGATAATAACCAATTTAACAGCATTCCAGGATAATTACCCATTGAGTCTAGTCCGTCTTCTTTTACCGACACGTTCGCTGCCCTCTGTTGACATTTTCATCTACTAAACTAAAATAGGACGCACGGCAAGATCGAAATCAATCTATAGATAAGCATCGAGCAACAAGCAACAAGCAACAGTGCGGCAACTCTAGAATTTTTATTTTTTTGATTACTCGGAATGGGATTGTACGAAAGATGAATCGTTATTTAGCCCAACGTGTTTGGTTATGTATTTACAAGGTCGAACACGTGTACATCATGGCCACGGATGCGAGGCCATCGAGATGACGCAATTCTCGATACGTTTCCAGGACAAAGTAATCGGAAACGGTCTAGTTCTCTCGCGTTTATTCTGCCCATATGCATGATGCATCAAAGGTAACCGATTGTCGAGGTATTTTTGCAGCCGATGTGATTGTTTCGATCATCGAAGTCTGTTTACCCAATCAGGAGTTGTGATTTCTTTCAAATTTTTGTCGCGTTCACCACTAGCGACTTTCTAATAAAGTCATTCTCTCATTTTCAAAAGCTTAGCTGTTCACTTTACAGCAAAACTTTCTATACATTTTTCAAAGTGTTCCATTAGATTTACAATGCAAAAAAGTTTCAATCAAAAATGTTCATTATCGAGAGCCCCACGAATTTTCCAAGATCAACCAACTCTTACGTTTAAGCTTAAATAACAACTTTCCGTCCCTCAAATAAAAATATAAACCTCCACCATTTTGTCCCGCACCGACGCGACGCATTCGAACGTCCACGATTCCCTCGACTTTGTTCCCCTTAATATCTCGACTCGTTCTTTCGTGTTCATCGTTATGTCTCGATTATCTAAAAGCTTCTCAACCCGTCCCAAGCCACAGGCTGCAGGGGTTATTCGCGATATTCCGTCGCATTGTTATTCCTTCGACGTCTACCCTGGTTCTTTGCTAACACCCGTGTCCCGTTCGGGCCGTCCACAGATGCGCTTCTACTTGGTCGAGCATGATCGAAATTGATCCAGGCGGCACAAAAGGGTGCCGACGGTCGAGACTCTGGTTAGCCCGATAGCAAAAGAGTTAATTATAAAGAGAGGCGAGCGTCAAAATCCGATACGTCGCCAATGAAGCCTTATGCGTTCGCTGGATCGCAAATAGTCACCGATTATCGGTACCAGATCGATATAGGCCAGATAGAGCATGGGAGACGCTCGATTTCGTATTAAAATAGAAAACGACAGGTTCCCCGTTATTGCTATCGGATTAGTCGCGAACCGATGGCGCGGACGCTGACACTCTTTTTTTCTCTCTTTTTTTTTTTTTTTTTTTTTTTATTGCCAACGGGAAAAGTTTATCCACAGATTGTTCAGATACAGGCCGAGTTTCATGGGGGAATTTCAGATCGTAGGGCTCAGGGAATAATTATCGTAAATAAAATAGTATTTGCTCGAACACTTTCAATATTAATTCAAAATTAATATTAACAAATATATCGATTCAATTTGGATTTATTGTAACGTGATATTGTAGAACTTTGGAATATACAACATTTTTTGTTGCGTATTTTTTTCTGATTTGGTAATAAAAGAAATTTGGTTTTCAGAATTGCCCGTTCTCGAATGTCCGTCACGTAATTCAAAGAAACAAATGTGTTCCAGGACACAGTAACTAACCTAACGAAACGACAACACTCATCTCATCCAATCCTGGCTAGTAAACTAACTACAGTAAAGACTGGATAAGTGCAAGACAGGATCGACTGGATAAATGCAAGATGACTATCCCTAGCACTGCTGTGGTGTCCCCGTTAACGCTCGGCGAGCAAGCAGTGCGATATAATCCTAATAACCGATTGATACGCTTCTACCGACTGCTTTTTTTTTCCGTCCTCATACCTCTTTCTGTTTGGCTCCCGATTTTCTTTCACTTATCCGGTCTTTACCGTATAAGACAGAGGACTCACCGAGCAGTCCATGGGAGAACCTTGGTACCCTCCAAGCTGATGCTTCTCAGCTCGTACTTGGACCTGTGTCGAAGAGGAGAACCAGGTGCTGTGGTGGCGTGGAGAACGTTCCTCATGCTCTTCGAGTTGACCCCTGTGATGGCGTGCCTTCTGCCAGAGGTGCCCTCCCTGGTCGACTGGTTGGTCGACCTCCTCAGCAAGCTCATCTTCGAAGCAGCGATTCCAACACCGAACGACACCTCCTGCATCCTTTCAGGATGAGATCTCAACGTCCAATAGGGCCCATATACGCTCTAGTCAACACTAGACTCGGGTTCAGGATGATTTTCAACACGTGGGCGCATGCTGACAAGCTTTCAACGTCCTCAAATCTCCCCAAACAGGCCAGAGTATCTCCAAGAGCGATTCTCTACACTTGAACACAGTTTCAGGTTGCTTCGACACTTTGAAACCCTTTCAAACTGCTGTAAACTTCCAATCGTTTAAATATTCCCAACCAGTGACATCTTTGAATTCCTTTTACTAATTCAACACAGTTGCAGTCTCGGAATTCTTCGAACCACTGCAGCCGCCAGTTGTAACTTTGGCACCCTTGAAACCATTATAACGAAAAAAAGAAAGCAACTTGATCAGTAACAGATCTTGAAATCCTCCGAAAGCCAGACGTCTACCCTCGAGATCCTTTGTTTCTTTCTGTCAGCTTTACTTCAGCTCTCTCCTCAGACGAGCTTTTACACGATCAAACATGATCCATAAATTAAACTCCTGTTGGGCTTGTTCGTGCAGGGCCTGATACCTGACAGGCGCCTGTAGGCTCATCCTGGTGAGCCTTTTAGCTGGCGTGCGAACAGACACTGAACTGTCGGATGAACCGACAACCATAAGTGACTGCGCTAGCCCTCAACCCCACCATAACTGACGAACGGCGCACCTTGGCAACTCCACCATCACGTTTCCCTGATCATCGGACTTTTTACCCGGCCGATAACCCTCTTTTCAACTACGTGCTCCACTGATCCGAGATCCACGGCACGGCACGGCACCGTCGTCGGCGTCGTTGCTTTAATAAGCGAAACCGAGCGTCCTTTTGTGCGTTCGCGCGCTAGATAAACGGAACTTGAATCAGGGAGGGGGTCCGGCCCTCGTAATCAGTCGTGAGACTTTAGACTTTCTTTTAAATTGCACCTTCGGAATCGATTGTATCCGAATTGATTGGGAATTGGTTTGTTTCAAGTTGCGACGATCAACGTGTCGCGTTGTCGGCTTGAGGACGTGCGCTACCAACACTAGCTCGCGCTCGAGTAAACAGAGTTTACGACGTTACACTCGAGCAGGCACGAACGGACCAGCGCGCATACGCACGACTTTGACTTTCTCGAGGGGCAATCTTCTTCTCCTCTCGAGCTCTCGGTGGAGCTAGGTTCTTTGAATTGGCGTGATTCGTAAACGATGCATAATATGCGATGACAGTGTCAAGAAAATTTCAAGAGTTCCATCTGTTTCATCTCTGAGAATAGTCAATTTGTTTTCAAACGTTATTGTTTAGCAATTCCATTCTACTTTGAATAGGAAATGTATTTTTAAACGTTACCTTAAATAATTCCATCCTATTTCGTATCAGAATTCGCTAGGTTTTAGGCGAAGTAACTAGAAATTAAAGTGTAACAACACTTGTTTTTCCCCTAATAAGAAATGGTCCGAGTTTCACGCGTCGGTGATCGATAGTCTCGAGTTGATGGTTGCACCGACAATAACAAGGTTACCAAAATCGCGGATTTATCGCGTGGGATGGTCGCGGATCGCGGCGCGAACAAACAGTGAGTCGTTGGTTCAGGACTGCTCGATTCATGGCCAACATTGTTCCTCGTTGAGGAAAAGCGCCGTGTCTGGATATACGCATGCGTCGCCAGGGAAAATATTATTCAATTTTTAATAGTATCATACATGTATATAGTAAATGGATGTTATATTCAATGAATATTATTAAATTATTAGTATTCTCAAGAGGACGTGTGTTTTCACTAGAATTACATTTTGGAAATGAGTTGTTTGTTCGTGGTGAGTAAGAAAAGTGAAAAGTCGATTCGCTGTTTCACAATTTTAATACTCTTTCTTGGACCTGAAGAACAACTTGGGTCCAACGCGGCTGGAAGAATAGCATTCTTCCGAGAGGTCCTGTACATTATCAGGAAGACCTCTCCGGCTCCGATGTAACTACAAAACAATTTTACAATAAAAAAAGAAGCATACAAAACTCCCAGCAGTGGGAATATTCAATTAATAATATTCTATTTTATTAATAGTCATCAGTAGCAGTAATTAGCATTCGATTAATATTATTTCATTATTAATAGTATATCGAATTATTAATGGTACGTAATTAGTAATCGAATATACTATCAACATTAGAATAGTACTAATTGTAGGCTATTATTTATATTTAAGAGTTTCGATGGTTCCGGGGCACGTGTTAAAATTCATTAATTTAATCAAATTTTCCACAAATTTGTTCCCATGTATCTGCATTCAGGGGCTAATATAAAAATTGAACAAATCATTGA